TTTTCTAGTCCCCAGTTTCTGAGACCAGACTCTCCACAAACTACAGGATCTTATGAAAGGTACATGACAACTAGACAGTGCTCTGCAATAGTTCAGATGTTACTGTTCAAATGTGTATATTATGTGTCTAAAATATATGTATGTTGTGGACACATTTACATATAGTATGCATATACATGTGTACATACATATATAGTTGTGTATACACTGATATGCATATATATATATGTATATATATTGCTAGGATTTGCAAGACTTGCAAATTCTATTATCAGACACATTTCTTGAGTTAAATGGTAGGTAACAACTGTGGACTTGTGACAATTCATTTGCATGTGCCTATCTCAAACAACAGTAAAGGGTCAGATGGTCCAAGAATAAACAAACTAACAAACAAAGCAAGTCAGCTTGGAACCGCAGCCAGCATTTCCTTTGCTAGCCCTCCAGGAAATTCTAGGTGTGGGTTTACCTTTTCTCAATTTCATTTTCTCTTCTGTTTGTGGAAATTCCACTCATTCTTTTAGGCTGGCTTTATTTGACTTTAGAGTCAGAAAGAGATTGGAAGAGCAGGTGAGATTTAAAAAGAAAAAAAAGAAAGGATGGGAGCATGCCTGTCAAGTTGCAGGTGTGCAAGACTGTCTTTCCTCTCTAAACACCCAGCACTGAGAAGGTACCTGGTAAGCAGGAGGAGGCTGATCAGGAAGAGGGGATGCTGCAGAAGGCACAGCATATGATTATGGCTGTGCTAGATGCTCAGGGGATGATCAAGCAGGCAAGACAAAGTCATCCAGTGTAACAATGTGCCCTCCATTGTATCTCCATTCTGCGATGGGACCTTCAGAGTGTGGGCTCTTAGTGAAGGAGGTTTCAGTCGCTCAGTGGGCAGAGTAGGCAGGATGGGCAGGAGGGCCAGCAAACGATGAGAGAAAGTTCTGCTCTGCCACAAGGGGAATCTCCACTGCCCTCTTTCCTCATTAGGGCTCAGGAACCATCACGTGAACGGAGGAGGAAAGACAGTAAGAGCCAGAGGTTGGGAGAACCAGATTGCAACAGACCTTCTAGTCATGGCTCCTAAACACACAGCAGCTATGGTAGCCTGCGTAAGTAGACGTTCTAGCCTGGAGCCAGGAGGGGCCCGTGAGCCCCGCCTCCTACCGGAGGGGCTTTGACAGTCGATGGACTCTGAGGCAGGACTGTTTCTCTGCATGACCTACTAATTTCCAAACACATCCCGAACATTATCAATGCGAGACTCATTGGTCCACACCAGTGCTGTTCCGTCCACAGGAGGTGTACATGCCATTTGAATTTTCCAGCAGCCATGGGAACGGTGAAAAGAAACAGTTGGGAAGCTGGAGAGATGGCACAGAGGTTAAGAGCACTGGCTGCTCTTCCAGAGGTTCTGAGTCCAATTCCCAGCAACTACACGGTGGCTCACAACCATCTGTAATGAGATCTGGTGCCCTCTTCTAGAAGGCCTCAGGTGTGTGGGCAGGCAGAACACTGCATACATAATAAATGTCAAAAAATAAACAATTGGATATTTCATTTCAATAATATATTCTAGGGCTGGAGCACTGAGCCGGCATATGTGAGACCCTAGGGTTGGACCCCAGCGCTATAAAGCAAATATTTCCAAACAAACAAACAAACAAATCACCGAAGTCAGTGAAAGGGCCCAGCAGATAAAAGTGCTTGCCATTCAAGCCTGAGGATCTAAGTTCCTGTCCTGCAGCCCCAGAGTGGAAGGAGAGAGCCAACTCTCCAAAACTGTCTTCTCACCTCCACACATACATAGAATCATATGTGCTCTGCCTAGTAAGAAATAAATACTTAAAAAGTAATAACAAAACACACATACTCTCTCCCAACATATTTAAGATACAGTCACTCTACATGATTATAGTCCATACAATCCCATTCCATATTATTATCTTACAACCTTAGATCATTGATATTTATAATTTCGTTCCCTTTGAAATCTGGCATTTTTATTCACATATTTTACACACACCGTGAATGTCACCTTGGATCAGCCTACTGGCTATCACACTGAGTGGTACACCCCTAGAGCATCATGGTAGAATCCTGAACTTCCGACTTGGCAGGCAGCACACCGGGCTGTGTTACTACTCTAAGCAGCAGCTTTGACAGAAGTTCCGTTCTTCTGTCCTTAGCTCTATTAGATGAAACCTGACCCATCTGTGGCTTATATTAGGGACGAAACCAAATACATCTGCAGAATCCGAGGGTCCTCTTCTGACTCTCTCCTTTCTGCATCTTCTACCCTCTCGGTTTCCAGCTGCTATGCTCACCCTGAGCATGTGTGGGAGTTTACCAGCAGTCCATGACCGTTCTAGCTGGGCCTCTGTTTAGGTCTGACTCTGAAACCTTCCTCTGAAGGCTTGTTCCCTACTTAGCTGGTGGTGCTAGGGTAGGAGGCCATGGAACCTGTGGGAGGTGGCGCTTAGCTGGTAGCAGTGAGTTACTGTGGGGAAGGACTTTGAAGGCCATAGCCTGGCCCCTGGTTCCAGCACTCTTGCTGTAGCTACCTGCTCTGTATAGCCCCATAGACAGCACCGCCATGCATTCCAGCCATTAACATGAGCTGGGCTGCAAGGCCGTGCTCCCTACACTAGAAACAGCGCCTGCAAACCCTTGAGGCCATGAGCCTCAAGCAGTCTGCCCTCATGGAAGCAGTTCCTGTCCAATGCTTTGTCACAGCAATCAAAAGGAACTAATACAGTGTCCACATAGTGACAAACATGCTCCACTCCAATTTCTGTCTGCATTCTAGCTTTTCAATAGTTCCTTTATGTATTTTCTCCAGAGTTCCTTGTCGTTATCCACAGCTCCATCATTATGGGATGTCAACCCTTTGATTGGCAGCTTTTAAGCACTGCTTCTTAGTGTTCCACAGAGGTGCCATGGCCAAGATGATCTAAGTAATTTCTCAATAGAAGATCTTTTCTTAGTGATTCTAGGTTGTGGCAAGTTGGCATTCAAAAATTTCTGAATGAGACCTTCATTAATGTCTTTAGCATGGAAGTAGGCTTTCATTCTTATTTTTGGAGGAGCTCACAGAATCAACATAAGGAACACTGCCTGCTTGTTCTTGCTTCCCATCTTCTCTTAAACAGAAGCTAAGAGTTTAATAAAAGGCTGCAATGATGAGAAGATGGCTCAGCAAGATAGGGTGCTTGAGCTAACCCCCAACAACCCGAATTAGATACCCAGGGCCCACATAGTGAAGAGAGATCATCAATGCCTGAAAGATGTCCTGGACCTCCACACATGTGCCATGGACTATGTGTAAACTCTCTCTCTCTCTCTCTCCTCTCTCTCTCCCTCTCTCTCTCTCCCTCTCTCTCTCTCTCTCTCTCTCACACACACACACACACACACACACACACACACACAATTAAAAAATAAAACAGTGTAAGCAAAAGGGGTTGGTACAAAAGCCAAACACATTGTGAGACTCCTGAATCAGGCCAGGGGTACACACAGAGCTTAAAAAAACTAGTTGCTCAGCTTGGGGCAGAAAGGGAGGCAGAGGGGTAACATCACACAATGCATTAGAGTCACCGAGTACCATGAGATCCAGCCCACTGAAGCAACTAGGAAGAAACACATAGAGCTAGTGAACACACTCCACCCAGTTTGTTCCAGTCGAGATCTCCCGATTGTACGCCAGAGCACATGGGTAGCATGGCCATCTCATGTTTCAGCTGGGTCTGGCAGAGAAGTTGAGGTGGCTTCCACACAGCAAGAAACACTCACAGAGACAGGTCAGCCACACCCATTAACCTCCTGGCCCCTTATTCTTAGATGCTTAAATTCTAGCATTTACTTCCTCTTCTTCCAAGACAAGAGATTTCGGGGAGCCAATAGGTGCCAGTCAAAAGTGTGTACCCATGGCAACGTTTTCTCTGTGAGATGCTGTCAGTCATGACCTATAAGCTTCCCTCCAGCTAGGACAGTGCATTTCCATTAATGTTCTGGCTTAGAAGGCAGACATTCAGAACAGTGCTGTGTCATGGTGCTTCTGTTGGTGACACACCAACCATGGGCATGCAGCAGGGGTGTCATAGATCACAATATAGCTGAAAACTTCCCACTGCCTGTACCACATCACGGTGCAACCCATGCATGCGGCAGCATGCATGGAAACAAACCTACTGTGCTGTCATATTTATCACTGTTGGAGACGGCTGGGGTATGCGCGCGTACACAGATACACACGGGGTATACTTGCCTATGCATGCTCTTGAGGAGGTCAGAAGTCAGTGCTGGGCGTCTCCCTCTATCACTTTATTGTGTTTTATTTTGAGAAAGTCTCTTGGTGAGTCTAGAGCTCACCAACTGCCTAGACTGGTTCCAGCAAGGCTTGGGTATCTGCCTGTTTCCACACATCCCTCTAGCTCTGGGGTTACAGACGTAAATACACAGAGACAGGTCCTCACGATTGCACTTTACCAGCGGATCCATCTCCCCAGCCCCAACACAGCACAGCACACACTACTATAACGATAATAAGTTACCGTTCACGTACTTACTATGCTACAATTACTATTGCTATCTAAGAATGCGCTCCTGTTAAAAGTATTGTTCACTGTAGGTAAGTTTGTGTTAGAGCAGCACCAGCCTACCCATTCTGTGTCTACCAACTGTATCAACTTTATGTTTAAGTTAATGTTCTATTTTGTTCATGTTCTAGGAACAATAAAGTATAACGCATCTACGCAGATAGTCTACGTGTGTAACAAACATTGCATCGTCTAAATAGTTAATTCTCAGAATGTCCCCCGTCATCAAGCAGCATGACTACTTTGAACAAGCCAAAAAAAACAAAAAACAAAAAACAAAACCATTGGCCACACCAGTAGGATGTGGCACGGACTGGCTCTGTGGTGTGAACTGTGTGTTACCATCCCCCCATCCGAAAGTGTTGCTACCCGATATGCTGGTGGTCCGCGCCACAGAATACGGTGACTTACCGGGACTGGCACGGGTGAGAGTTGCACCTTCGGACCTGGGGCTCAGGGCGGCTTGCTTGGGGGCAGTCACTGTCATTCACCAGGGTAGTGGTCTTGTTAACAATCCGCGTGCACGATACGATGGTCCTGCGTTCTCCTGGAAGCCAGACCGTGGGAGCTGAGAACTTATGGAGGCACATGCCCAGAAAGCTATTCATTCAGGTTTATGGAGGGAGTTTGGGGGGGGGCAACTACTGATCAGTGAATGAGTCATGTCCGTTGTCAAAGACGGGGAGCTGTTCTCTTAGGGATGGGGCGTTTAAGTCACAGCAGAGCTGGATGGAGCAGGGTAATATTCTAGAACAATCTGAGAAAGCAGGAGGACCTTCAGGTCAATTGTGTCCTTGGACGGGCTGGGAGTTGCTAGGGTCAATGCTTTGCCTGGGGCTTTTATTTCCATCAGAAATTGCTAATCTTTTGATCTGCATGCTTAAGATTTAAAGTCTATGGAGATCCGGTCCCAGATATGCCTGTGTATCAGCTTTCACTGAGAGTATGGCCACTGCTTTGCTACAGACTTTGTTTCCTGAGAGATGTGAGGTAGTTGCTGAGAGGGACATTCAGGCTTGCTTTGCTCTGGCAGGTGTCCCCCACTGGTTCACTGAGCTCAGGGGTGCTAATATCTCAGTGCCACATGCTCTTCGGCAGCTTGGCAAACCCATTAACCTTTCTTTGAGAGTCCCTATGAGCTCTCAATCTGATGGTTACAACTTTGTCAGGGAGGCTGAGTGATGGTCATTAGGAGGGTGGCCTCTGGAACCAGCTCCCTGGGTGCCCGTTGGCTTTGCCACTATCAGCATCACTGTGACCACAGCATAAACAGGTGGCACCATGCTTCTATGCCTCAGTTTCCCCAAGTGGGACAGCTTGCTTCGCCACACTTCAGAATGCTGTATTAGTGCCATTGGTATGGCTTGAGAAGAATGACTATAATGGATGAACAGGGAGTCAATACAACTATGTAGGCCCAGGATACAACTATGTAGGCCCTTTCTTTGTAGGATCTGTTGTTTGAGGAATTGGTCGCGCAGGGATGACTAAAAAATGGGGAATCTTAAGCCACAATGTCTGCCCTATGACTCGCGAACGCAGTCATATATAAACACGAAAGCAAAGAGCCATCAGATACAGCACCAGGCTTGACAACTGAAGGAACTGGAAGTCAGTGGTGTCACCAAGGCAGCTGTGGTTGTGTGGCAGTTCAGAGTTCCCAGAACAGCACAGCCTACTGTGGTTCCTCTGGGCTGCGCTTTGTCTACAGTAGGTTAGCTCAGAGGAGACACAGGCATGAATCCCTAAAGTGGGAGGGGAGGAAGCCATCAGCATAGGGGACGTCTGAAATCCCCAAGACAAGGGATCTCCTAGAGACGGTGTACTCTGGTGGGGCTGATGGTGGCACCCGGAAGCTGTGCCAGCTGTCACAATTTGCAGAGGGAAAACATTTAGTGTGAACAGTTGGCTGAGATACAAAGGAGGGAACTTAAGGACTTGATCATATTGTGGCTCTGATCTCCCCAGGAACAGTGGGATGAGCCCTTTAAATGTTAAATAATGTCATATAAGCTGCCTATGTGACAACATCATCTTAGCAGACCAGCCACTCAAGAGCAGGATGGGTGAGCTTGCACCTGGGTTCTAGCTTGCCACCTTGCTTGCTGGGTAGAGACTGAGAGGCCTCATCGATCCTCTGTCCTAACTCGGTCTTACCCACCATCTTTTGCATCATCTCCTATGATCTCCTGAGTGCCTTATTGGAGGGACAAATGACACTGACCCAGAGATTAGCTTACTTCTTAGTGGAACTTACTGTTCTTTATTATTTTACTTGTGCTATGTTCTCTCTCTCTCTCTCTCTCTCTCTCTCTCTCTCTCTCCTCTATTCCTCATAGATAGGTAATCTTCAAACACTTCAAAGAACTGTAGAATATGGCATTTAAATAACTTAGGATTCTGTCGACGTGAAACACAATTCCTCCTGGCAGCACTGATCTATTCCTGAGAGAATGTTGGGCACCCAAGACACTCCACTTGGAGCTTGTTTTCTTCTTGACAAAACTGGCCTTTGGGCAAAGAACTGCCCATGTCTTGACCACTGACAAAATGGTGTCCAGACTGGACAAGCAGGATACAAGCAAAAAGACTGCCAGACCTTGCCAAGATGGGGGTAGACAGTTTTAAAATTTTCCTGCCTCTGAAAATGGTCTGTCAGTTACTCTAGGCCTTAGTCAAAGTTGGTTGCCCTAGCATTGCAAATGGAACTTTGGGTGATTGCCCAGGTAGCCTGCTGTCTCTGTCATTTCTTGTACCTTTTGGAAGTTACTTGATTGCACTTCCTCTTTACTTAAGTAATATTAGTTCCCTTCTCAGGTCTTTGATGGGGTTGAAAACTAGATAGCCATAGTTACTTTCCTCTCATGACTTAGCCAAGCCATTTTTAATGTAACACTTAGATTCTTTAGGATAGGATAACTATTGAAACATTGAGCATATGTTTTCTGTTTGATGGTGCTTATTCTGGCTATAATTTTAATTTCTATGTATGTTTTTGCCTCTTCTTTTCCCTGGACAATACTTGATATTTATTCTTATTGTATATAGTTTTGTATTAGGCTTAGAACTCTCTTATTTAAACAAAATGGGGAGGTGTTTGGTGGCTCCTTCAGCCAATAGCCTTGAAGATATTGGCCCACTTTGAGCATGGTCACACGTATTATAAACGCAGACAGGTCTCTTGGCTGCTGGATTTGGTTTCAGTTCCCAGCGCATGCAGAAGACTGTGGATTACTTCCCTTTCTGTGAGTTTATCCACAGATAAATAAACCTTGGTTATACTGCATTCTGGGCTACTGGGGAATTCTTCTGGACACCAACATGCTTGCTCACTCTCTCACTCTCTCCTGCTTTCCCACTTCCCTAGACCTGGCCATGTCCAGTCTACTCCTTCCTCCCTCTGCTCTGGACTCTACCAGAGGCCTCTGGATATCGTCTCTCTCTTATCTACAATAAAATCTTCCCACACTACGGATCAGCCATGCCAGCAGCTTCTTTATACCTTCTTCAGTGACGTTTTCCTGCTGCTCCTTGGTAAAACTTTCATTTCTTTCTTTTGTTCTTTGATGGTTTCACATGTGCATATATTGAATTTCAGTCATTTCCCCCGTTACCTTCTCTCACCCCACCCCCACTCCTTGCTGAAGCCTTCTGGGTCCCAACAAGCCCTCTCCTAGTTTGATGTCTTTATAGCAACCCGCTGTGTTGAATGACAGTTGCTGGCATGACTGGGGGGCTCTTTATCAGAACATGGGCAGCTTCCCAGTGCTCCTTCTTAATGCCCTACTAGTGGACACCCCACCTTTGCTAATGCAGGACTTCGCAGTGTGACAATCCCTTTGGCTCCCGTGCAATCTCCACAGTGGAAAGTGTGGAGCAGTCATCACACTTTAGAGGTGACGAAGTGCAGGTGTGGACAGAGTGGGCAGGTTGTCTCCTTTGGCCATGAGAGATGCAGAATCAGGACCCACTCGAGGTGTGCTCTGCCCGACCCAGAGGACACTTTACTTTGCACCTTGGAGAGGGTGACTGTGGCAAAGAGGACAGGGTACTTGGGTATGGGTGAGGTCTTCATCTGATCCCTTTCTACCAAGTTGCAGATCGATTTCAATATCCTCAGGGCCATTTTTATTCTCATACCTACCACCTACTCACATGATTAGCAAATCTCTACTGCTAGGGTTAAGCTCCAGGCCACGGAGCAGTGTGGGCCCTCTAACCTGCAGGAGCTGGGAAACCTTGGCTATATGCTCTATTGAGATTTTCAGGGCCTAAGTTCTTATGGAATCATACATTTTCCATTCCACACTGGGCAAACCGAAGCAGAGGGCCCCAAAGTCAGTGTTTCCTCAGCTGCACCCTCACCTCCCTCACCCCCACCTTACCTCCTCCACACTGCACACTGCACCCTTCCCAACCACTGTGGGTCCAGAGAAACAGAGCGTCCTGTGGCTTGGCGGGCTCACTCTGATTTTCAGTGCTCTGGTTTACAGGTATGGTGTATTCGTAATGAATTCCATAATTCTGGTCGTGAAACAGCAGCACCTGGAGCCATGAGAAAAGGGAGGCCTTGTTGAGACGGAGTGAGCACCCACAGAATGCTGAAGGTGTAATCTGAGCTGATGTCACTCTGCTCTCTGCTGAAGAGCAAAGCAGGTTAAAGCTAGAGGTGCCAGTCTCAGGGTTCCTCAGGGACTTGGGTGGTGCGTGGGGAGAACACACTATCATTGGTGAATTCAGGTCTTTTCTATTCTACATTCAATCTGTTTACAGGGGGAGTTTGGGGTAGTGAAATGCAGGCTGTTTGTGTTATTTTTCTATATCATGCAGCAGGGTCCACATTCCTATCAATTTGCCCACATGGTTGTGCTTTCAGATGTGAAAGACACAAACGATGCTTTTCCTTAGAAAGGGATGAGACCAGTACTAACCATTTCTTTGAGTATAAGTTCGGTGCTGGCTAGTTTATGTCAACCTTGACCCAACCCAGAGCCATTTCAGAAGAGGAACATCAACAGAGAATATGTCCACATCAGAACAGCCCATCACCAAGTGTGTGGCACTATTTTCTTGACTGTTGTGGGTGCTGTGAACTCTGGGTGCTATAAGAAGGTAGGCTGAGAAAACCATGAGGAGCGAGCCAGTAAGAAGCATTCCTCCATGGCTTCTGCTTCATTTCCTATCTCCTGGTTCCTGCCTTGCTTGCCTGAGCTCCCTTAGCGACAGACCTGGAAGTGCAAGGTGAAAAAGATCCTTTCTTTCCTGGATGCTTTAGGTCATGGTGCTTGTCATAGCAACATAAACATTAACAAAGGCAAGTGGTGCCCTCCAGATGGCATCTTCCATTAGTCACTGCTACAGTAGAGTGTGTGTACTCCAGAACAGTCACTGCTACACTGCAGTGTGTGCTCCATCACAGTCACTGCTACACCGCAGTGTGTGTACTCCATCATCAGTCACTGC